GTTCATGGCTTAATCCATGAAAAATCAAATGTCTATTCAAAGATTTTTTTCTCAAAATATGATAAAAATTTCAAGACCAATTTGTAAATTATGATGCGAAGCATCAAAAGACAAAATCTAAACACAAACAATAGTTATGCCAACGGAATAAAATTTTTTTGATCTCGATCGGTACTTGAGGGCATCTCATGACTCGAACTAAATGGTAGTATATAAAATTAATAACACTTAGGGGCAAGGTCAAGGACCTAACAACTCTAATCGAGTTCAATAATGGGTCAAAGAAAGCCATTATCATGCCAACTAGAGGAACACAAGGCTAAACAATAAGCTTTTAAGCATTAATTAAAGCAACCAAAGCCATTAAGCTAGGAGAAAAAGAATGGTCCCGAGGTAGGATGATGACTCGGTAAAAGTATGACAAGTAATTGAAGCAATCGGGCATGATCTTATAAGGGTAGATCATAATATGTGGATGGTTTTATCAATTTCCATGTTCAAAATTCCACCTACCTTAGTTAGTTTCGAAAAAGTGAAAAACCTAAGTTCACAATGAACAATGTCAAGGCCGAGAGGGGCAAGAAAATTTCAACAATACTACAAGATAATGTATAGTACAAAATTCCAAAATGAGGCACTAAAATGAGAGTTGAGTTCCAATTAGGTAGAGTAGTTTCTCATAAGTAAAAAACTAACAATTACAATCATCCTTGTTAATATATTCCAAGAGTATTATCGGATGAGGTAGTCGTTTAATCTAAGAAATTTGAAAGCCTCGAGATTATGAGAGAATTCATGTTATTTAAATCATACATTCAGGTAGGATCGCTTTATAATAGATCATCATTCAAATAGGATCACCTCATAATAAATCATTCTTTTAGGTAAGGTCGCCTTATAATAGATCATCCTTGCCTAAGGTCATCTCACAATAGATCATCCTTTCAAGTAAGTTCGTCTCATAATAGACCATCATTTAGGCGGGATCACCTCACAATAGACCGTCCTTTTAGGCTTTGTTGCGTAACAAGTAGACCATCTTTCAAGTTCAATCACCTCACAATAGACCATCATTCATGCAAGGTTGTCTTATAATAAATCATCCCTTTAGGCTAGATCACCTAACAATAGACAATCTTTTAGGTTCGATCACGTCATAATAGGCCATCATTCGGGTAGGGTCGCCTCATAATAGACCATTCTTTTAGGTCGAGTCACCTAACAATAGACCATCTTTCATGTTCGGTCACCTTATAATAGAACATCACTCCGAGTGGGGTTGTCAATTTGGTTCATCGTTTTAGAAAAGGTTGTCTAACGATCATCTCATTTCCAATTAGGATTACCTAATTTAGTTTATCATTTATGCGGAATTATCTAATGATCATCTCATTTTCGGAAAAAGGTCGGGCTTAAGAAAACATGCTTACTTAGGGTAAGCTCGCCCATTGGGTTTAGAAGCTTGATATCCTTTTATTTATTTATTCTTATTATTTTTATTTTAGCAAATTTTAATTAGAAGTTTCCATACATATTTTTTTAATTTATTTTAGTCTAGATTTATTTATTTTGGTGGTCTTGAACTTTTTTTTATCTTAATTTATTTAATTTAACACTTAATTTTTTATTTTTTATTTTAGCATGTAAATTCCAGTTAGTTGATTATTTAATATTAATTGAATCTGAATTTTTTAATTAGGTTTTAGATTCCTATAAATGAAGCGGAACTATTAATTTAATTTTTGGATTTTACTATAGTATCAAATGCAGACTTGAATAATCAATAGTTCAATTAGGTAATTGATAGGAGGGTAAATCATTGAGTGTCTTGATTTTTAGGGACCGATGACGATTCTCCATCTACTTTAAAAAATAAATAAATAAAAAGAGAAGGGGAAAAGTTAAAAAAAAAAAGTTAATTAACAAAGTCTCTTACCTAATAAGAACTATTGTTAACTCAAATCAATCATATTTTAGTAATTAGATCATTCTTTGATATACCGGTTATGTCAAGACTTAAATTGGATTCGATATTAAACTAACGTGATGCTTGATAGAGGGGTTTGACGATCCATTTAAGATGATGCCACAAAAAAAAAAAATTAACCTTGAAAATAAAACTTGGAATTTTGACTAAGATTAGTTTTTGCAAAAATAGAAGTTTTTAGAAGATAAGTTTTAAGATTACGTTAGACATGATATCTTTCTTAGGAAATGGTGCTTTTAGGTGATTGATATCTTCCCAAAAGCATAACAAACTTTTTATCTTAAAATATCTACACTAGTGCCCATTTTAAGTTCTTAGTTCCTTTAAATACTAGGTGATGATTTCAAAATTAATAAATAATAAAAACAAAAATTTTTTTAAATAAATAAATCTTAAATAATTTTCGAGAGTCCCATTAGAAGTCAAGTAGCTACAATAGTCAAATGGATTCTATGCTATTTAAAGCATATAATAAATCATGATTTGTTCATTACTCGCCATAACAACTCCTTATTGCATGGGTTGTCTAACTCTAATTAGGCAGGGTGTTTAGATGATTGGAATTCGACTTGAGGTTTCATTATCTTTCTTAGATGTAATCATCTCTTGGAAATCATTCAAGTAGGAAATGGTTGAAGCTCAACAGAAGCTGGCTACAGAGCAGTAGCATCTAGCTCAAATCTTTGCTTAATGAACTGGGATTGTTTAGCCTAAATCACCAGCTTAATTTATGGGGCGATGACATTGGTGCCACTTAGTTGGCGGTCAATTTCTTGTTTCATGCTAGAATGAAGAATATCGAAATTGATTTTATTTTATCTAGGATAAAGTAGCTACGAGCGAGTAGCAAGTTAGTTTTGTTTTAATGTAGGATCATCTTACTGATATTCTTACTAAATCACTTCTAACTGCTCTTTTCACCATGCTTAAAGACAAATTGATAATTATGTCCAAACCATTGTCAGTTTGCAGAGGAGTATTAGCACAATATAATTGTGATAACTCTAAGCAAGATAAGAGTGGCAGTACTTCTTCTTCAGTTCAAACTCCTCCTCCTTTACCAACTCTTCTCACTACATCTAACAAAGAGTCAAGATATAGTTTAAGTTAGTTTTGTATTATTATTTATAAAATATAGCTAACTTTCATCACATATATTTTCAACATGTTTTAGTTTTTGTTTCTGTTGCTATTTCTAACATTTTTTTATGTAATTGACTTAATTATATAACACAAGTATAGAAGTCTTTCTAAAATAGTATAGACATAATATTTTCTCAAGACGACGTATTCTTTGTGATTTAAGTAACTCTAATATCAACTTTTATGAAAGTTTGCATCATAGAGTTTATGGGATATATTTATTCGGTATGCTGTACACGTAAAAATTTACATACATCAAAGAACATTATTTTGAATATAAAAATATAAACTACTAAGTTATGGATTCATTTTTAAATCATCTATTTTCAGTACTCCTAATTGTTAAAGAATCTATCCTACATCAAATCAATAATAATAACAACAACAACAATAATATAAAATTAAAATAGACCATTTATTATAAAGTATAATTTTTTTTAAAAAAAATTCAATCTTAACTATCTAATTTAATATACATATAAACTTCTTACCGTGGATCTCAGCACTATATACATCATGCTTAAAAATTTTTATGGTGCTTTCTCATTTTAATTAACTCTGTTGGGATGGTGTTGGAGAGGTAGATAAAAATCATCCCCACCCTATTAATATTTGTCACATGGCTCCTTCATCACTGGCTATTGATATGTTCCCTAGTTGCGAACCTAACAAATTGAAATAATGATAATAATAATTATGACATTGGACAACCATACTTCTTGGAAAAAATCCCTGTCTGAGGTATTTCGATGCTAGAATTAGCATCATATAGAAGTGATCAAAACCATGTCTGAATTCCATAATACGGAGCAATCATTCCAATAGTTGTGATTTCCTATTAATATCAATTATATCAATCTGCAGGGCACTTTATGTTTGCCAGGAAAATAGAGAGGAAATAAGATTTAAAGCCTTCTTGTCTTTTCTTGCTACCCATTCTCTAACCAATATTTCATTTGCCCCACAGTATTTTGGCTGATGTTGATCGTAGTATATATGCTAGATTTAGCCCTACTAACATTGCTGTTATCACCAAATGAAAAGGAAATTGCTGTGCATATAGATGATATTTGTTACAGAATAATATGAAGTATACTCTAATACTTCACCTAAAAATTAAAGTGTTTTAGTGGAGGTTTAGGATATAATTTATATTATTCAAAAAATTAATTTTTTAAATAAATCTTTATAATCCATCACCATAGAATTGCCTTATATGTAAGCTGGTTAACACAGAGTTCCTTCCAGTTCAGGCCAAAAAAGAAAAACAATACTTTCAGAGATAAGGCTGGTCACAATTTACATCATGAGGATATCCATCTAATTAATGTCGACGGTCCAGTTAATCACTAGCTAATTTCTCCAAACTGACCGGAGTTCATAGATGTTCTTGGAATTGATTTCATACAAATTAACTTAATCTATAACGAGACTCATCTTATCTTTCAACAATTATAAGTTCTTACACATACTTGTGAAAGGGTTTCTTATTGTTGAATGTATATGGAGCATCCAAGCCCTAATTAATTACCAGTGCCAGCTCAACTACGTGGTCGCCATATTATCAAAATTAATGGACTGAACAATAGCAAGTTGTCAAGCACAAGTGCAAGGCATGGTGGATAATTTTATATCTCTGCAATATAAACATACTGAAACAATTCGTACGTACCAGCTTCTGTTGTTACAGCCGCCCTTATCCATCACACACTCCGGTGGTTGAAAAAGTCATTAATGTTGCATCGATCAAAGGCTCATGACATGAAGTGATGGACATTATTTATAGCCAGCTTCATTCGTTCATTTACTTGGACAACATCACAACAGTGTTAGTGCATCCAAAATATCTGTGCTAGGGTTGCTTGGAAACATGTCGACTAAGGATAGCTCATCATGTTTCATTTCTTTCATAATTTTAGGGCTGGTAATAACACTAGCAGGGATTGCTCCTCAAGTTGAGGCTAGGGCTTTCTTTGTTTTTGGTGATTCGTTAGTCGATAATGGCAACAATAATTACCTTGCAACCACTGCCCGAGCTGATGCACCACCGTATGGCATCGATTATCCAACTCGTCGTGCTACTGGACGTTTCTCTAATGGCCTTAATATCCCTGACCTCATTAGTAGGGTTTTTTATTTATTTATTATAATCAATGTGAACATTTTTTTTATTGGATTGCATGTATATCATCTGACTCTCTTGCCTTCTTGATTAATGTCAATTATTGTATATTAATAGGTGAGGCTATTGGCTCGGAAGCCACATTGCCATACTTAGCTCCCGAGCTCACGGGAGAAAAACTACTTGTCGGAGCCAACTTTGCCTCTGCTGGAATTGGAATTCTCAATGATACTGGAGTTCAGTTTGTAAGTCCATTTTTAATTGAAATTTCCAAGAAGAAAATTTAGTATTTAATATGTTACCTAATTTTCGTTTACATACTTTCCAGATTTTATTAATTGAACTTGTCTTTTTCATCAATTCAGGAAAGGAAGACCATGATTAGGAAACTTAAGCACACCTGCTGATATTTACTTACGATTTTCATATGTCAAGTGTAACTGATCAGTTATATATCCTACATTGCAGCTCAACATCATCCGAATCGGCCGACAATTGCAATACTTTCAACAATACCAGCAAAGGGTTAGTGCACTTATTGGACCTGAGCAAGCTCAGCGATTGGTCAATCAAGCGCTTGTCCTGATAACCCTAGGCGGCAATGACTTTGTCAACAACTATTACTTGGTGCCCTTTTCAGCAAGATCTCGCCAATTCGCCCTCCCTGATTATGTTGTCTATCTCATCTCCGAGTACCGCAAAATTCTAGTGGTAATGTATATGCTTATGTGTTTTTGTGGCCGTATTAATTCCTCAGTTCTTTAAAGCTCTCTTTTACCATTTTTTTTTATAATTTGTGTTGCAAATGGTATGAGATGTAAGAAATTATATAAATATGTGAAAGTACCATCTCATCTCACCTTTAATTTAGGTATATTAAAAGATTATCTCACTCAAAAACTTAAGTTATTAAGTGAGGCTTGCACATGCCTATACTACCTTGTACTTAATTAATTAGAAAAGAAAATAAGGATGGTAGAATTTGAATTCGCGACCTTTTAATCATCAAAGTTTTGATACCATATTAAAGGACTATCTCACCTATAAGCTTAAACTATTAGGTGATGCCCTATAATATGATTTATATTATTCTCTACACTACTTTATGTTTAATTAATTAGATAAGAAATGAGGATGATGAGATTTAAACTCGCTACCATTTGATAATCAAGACTCGATTCTATGTTAAAGTATCATTTCACTCAAAAATTTAAGTTTTTATGTAAAGTCTCAAGATATGGTGTATATTATTTTCTAATAAAATCATACCTAGAGATTTCATCCACGAACTTAAAATTTTTTATTGATGAGATGATTTTTGACATGAGGAAACTTTTATGCACCAATTTTTTGTTGAAAGTAGAGTTGAATGTATCGAACTAGAAAATCACATTTGTAGTGTGTTTTTTTTTTTTTTTGGCCTGAATTCGCCGAATATGTGCATTATTTTTCCTTTTTTCTATGAAGCACGATAAGTTTTCCTGGCTTTGCGAAGCCGACAACGAGTTAATTTATTGGTTGTAGTACAGTCTTTGCTGGTCGTGAGACCAATCGGCATTTGATGTTTTCTGACATGTTATTTAAAGCCTTTTAAGGCATTTTCATTGATACATGATATTCACATTAAATTATTAAAGCCTCTTGGTCAGATCCATCTATACAGAATGCATCACTTGCACTTTTAAAATGACTTGACCAACTCTCACATTTTACAGTCCAATTCACTTGCTAGAAAGCCAGAAAGACTGCAGTAAGTGCATTAATAGTTCCACCTAACGTAGTAAAGCATCTTTGTTGCTCTGTTCGTAATATCACAAATTCGTTAAGTTTAGGGTTTTTCCAATTGTGAACTTAATTAATATAAATTACTGTTTTACTTTTTGCAGAGGCTATATGAACTGGGTGCACGTAGGGTTTTGGTGACAGGAACGGGACCATTAGGTTGTGTACCAGCAGAAAGGGCGATGAGGAGCAGAAATGGAGAATGTGCGGTTGAACTGCAGAGAGCAGCTGGCTTGTTCAACCCACAACTTGTGCAAATGATAACTGAACTCAATAGTGAAATTGGATCGGATGTTTTCATTGCTGCCAATGCATATGAAATCAACATGGATTTCGTTACTAATCCTCAGGCATATGGTAAGTCGTCAAATTAAATAAAAATTAATTCATAGATGCAGCAAACTATTAATTACCATAGTTATTGAAAAGCAGAAGTTTAGATACATAAAGAATTGCAGATGCAACGAAACCTATAGCAATACAGTTAGGAGACCAAAAAGCAAAGACATTAAAGGAAATTATCTGTATGAGACCATTAAAGATCAATGCCATATTGTAGTAGGTATGCAAACCCCTGTGCATAAAGACTCCGGTTGCGTTTTTTTGTTTTGAACTTCAGATCGACCTACCCCAGTTGAGTTTGGTCCCTTCCACTGCACAGAATTTATTGAAGCTACAGAGAAGGAAATGGTCCATATTTTTTTTCAACCAAATAAATTGATTTGCATGGTTAGCTATATATAGTGTTGGACCAACTTACTTTATAAGCAATTAATAATGTATACACATTAGTTTTCGTGAAAAAAATTACTATACAAATTAGTTTAACTAATTCATTTCTCTAGCTAGTTGGATTTCGAAGAAGTTTGGCTTGCAAGGCTATACTAATACAACTTATTTTGTTTGGTATATATGCAGGATTTGTGACATCGCAGGTTGCATGTTGTGGACAAGGACGCTTTAATGGGATCGGATTGTGCACAGTAGCTTCCAACTTGTGCCCTAACAGAGAAATCTTTGCATTTTGGGATCCATTCCATCCAACTGAGAGAGCTAACAGAATCATTGTTCGAAGTATCAAGACTGGCGACACCAAGTATATGAACCCGATGAATCTCAGCACCATCATGGCCTTGGATTCTAGGGTTTAACTATTTGAAGTACTATTGGTTTAATTCTTATAATTGATCATTATGAACAATTATATTTTTCTCATTAATATTGTTTGTACCTTGATTAGGTGAGGTTGGCGAGTTTGTTCAAAGTTATAATTAAGGTTTGATGTATGTACCAAATTCATGTGTTAGCTGTTGGGGTCTGGATTGGCTAGAACTCTTATCAATAATAGTAAAGATAATGGAAAAATGATTTGCGATTTTGTATTGATCTGAGAAACATTTTATGAGAAATTAAAACAACTAATTATGTTCCTCTCCCCGTGTTAATTGCAATAAAGCCATTGATGAATACTCCTTGAAGAGGTTTGGTGAATTACAATATGCAATAATCAACTAATAGGTGAAGCTCTAATATATAATTTATATTATTTTTTAACACATCAGTTCTTCGAGTGAAAGCCATTTGGACTTAAAACTTACCTATGCCCATACTACCTTATGTTTAATTAATTAGAAGAGAAAATGAGGTGGTAGGATTTGAATTTGCGATCGTTTGGTTATCAAGGCTTTGATACCATGTCAAAGGAACATCTCATCCAAAAGTTTTAGCTAATAGGTGAAGCTCGGGATATAATTTATATTATTCTCTAATATATATATATATATATATATATATATATATATATATATATATATGAATAAACTTAAAATTTATATTAAATAACTTATGATAAAAATAAGTTAGAATGACTTTCAATTAAAATATATTTGGTAAAAATAATTTAAAATAACATTTTTGAACAAACGAGATGGTATAATTTAGAATTCACAAGTTAAAAGTTAAAAATTTCGATTTAATTTTATATCAAAGTTTTGATTTAAGTCAAAAGTTGTTTTTAACCAAATATATTTATGATTTTTCTATAAATAAAAAAGTTTAAATCAATTAAATCAATCTACAAAAATTATATCAAACAGAACCTAGTTTATGGTGGTTTCCTGTTTTGATGCATGCATTTCACATGGATGGTCATGATTCAACTAGAAATGTTGTCGATGGGTTTCTTCTTTTTATAGTTGCTGTAGCACAGATTTGTTGCCTCTTGAGTGGCTACATGTCGATTACTTCGTTCACATATATATATATATATATTAGGTTTCTGACTTTCTGCTGTAGGCCGTAATTAAGTGTTTTATATAAACCGTTCCTAATTATTATGGAGTGATTGAGATCCAACCCAGCCCCATTTATTTCGATCACATGGAACCTTGATCAGCTAGTCCCCACATCAATCAATATTTCAGAAAAAAATGAGAGCTTCGTTATGTCTTAAAAATAAACGGGACGCAAGTGACAGTGACAAGTTGGAATCCAAAAACCAATTAATTGACATGTTAATTATAACATAGACTTATCAAATGCCTTGAGTCTGGCGGATAGGTTAGACATGCCCCCCTTTCATTGGACAATTTGTTACTCCATCACCAACTCTTTTGCGGTCAATTCATGCATAATTTGACCGATGAGCATTGGAAAGCATGGAAGAGATTGCTTCATTACTTGAAAGGAACTCAATCAAAGGGTTTTTTCTTCGATTCAACTTCGAGTCTTGATCTACAGCGCTATGCTGACTGTGAATGGGAAGGTGACTTCGATAATAGGTGATCACTACACCATGACAATCATCTTTCATGCCACCTCAAGCTAATTTTGTTTGGCATGATTCGGCTATGTCAGTCAACACTCACACGGTGTCATCATCATCTATGCCTCCTGCATATTCGCCAATGCATTCTTCCCCTTCTTCCGTTGGATGGTACCCTGATACAGGTTTTGTACATCATATGACTTCAGATTACGTTACTCTCTCTAATATTACAAACTATAAGGGTTCGGATCATGTAATAGTCGGTAATGGCCAAAGTTTTGCGTATTTCTTATGCTAGTATTGCCTTTTATCCTTAAAGTTAGATAGTTGAAATTTAATTCCATTAAAAAACACTTAAGTTTAATGGTAGGTGACCCCTTCTCAATTTTATATGTTATTCATATTTAATTTAATTATTTAATATGCGATATCTCGCTAACATTCTTTCTCTCTTGTAGTCCATCTTTTGAGGTATGTTAAGTGGCTTAGGCTCTAGAATCTAATGACTTTTTTGAGACTCGATACATATAGAGTTAAATAGTTGAGACTCGGTTCCATCCAAAAATTTAAGCCTTATGGTGGGTGGCTTCTTCTTAACTTTATTTGTTATTTAACTTTAATTCAATTATTCAATGCGAGACATGCTCTAACAAGACATACCCCTTTTCATTAGATAATTTATTACTCCATTACCAACTCTTTTGTGGAAAATATATATATCACAATTTTTTTTTCTCTTCTCTTTTGAAGAATGTGTAATCCCACTACCGACACAAGTTGAATTTTCGTTGTACATTTAATTTAATTTTTCTTTCTTAATTTTATGGTCACTTGGATGCCCCTTTCTCTCCCCTCCCTAAATTGTTAGAAATGTAATCTCGCTTTATATAAATTAGATTCCATGAAAAATAATTATCAAGTCAAACACAATAAAGAGTTAAGAGTACAAAATAAATTAATTATAAAAACACAACTATAAGAAACCTAAATTTATGTTGAAAACATTCTCTATCATAGAATAAAAAAACTACAAAGCCACCTCCAAAATAATTCACTATAATAATAATAAAAAAAAAAACCAATACAATCACTCGAGTTGAAAAAAATTAAGAAAAAAAAATTCGGTAGCCTAGATTAAGGGGAAAAAAAGGAGGCCCTTTTTTCCCCGTTTCTCCCATTTCTTTCATTGTCTTCTCCTTCACTTCTCAGCCATAGATTTTCCTTCGACTTTCTCTTCTAGTTTAATGCTAAAATCTTGCCTAAATTCCTGAGAAAACTATAAAAAAATGACTAGAGTAATATTTAGCTAGATTAAAGCTTGAAAGAATTGACGATTGAAGTTGGGATTTGAAGACCTATTTGACAAAAGTGAGATTTTTGTTATATATTTAGTCTTAAATTTAAGATGTTTATATGTGTTTATTAATTATTTTGAAGTTAGTTTATATTGAGTTTTTTATTGATTAAAGATTAAGATATGTTAAGGTTAGGGTTTAATTTGAATTTGAAAATTTAATAATTAAATGATTATTTATACAAATTGATGCTTATAATAAGATAATGTGGTGTGAAATTAATTATTGGACCATAGGTTTGAGAAATCTCCAAGTGGCTTGAGATAATGGATTGCAGAGACAAGTTGTGTGAGAATTGAATTGAATTTTTTTTTTTTTTTTGAAAAAAATGAAGAATTAGGTTATATGAATATAATTAAAGATGAATGAAAGGAGAATTGAGTGAATTAGATGTTAGTGTATATGCCTTAGATCCAACTTGTTTGGATGGTTTGATGTATTGTATCGTTGTATGTTAATATTAATAAAGAAGTCTTTCTTTTAATTTTAGTTATTTATAATTTGATAGAAGTTCATATGATATGCATTGCATTAATAATTGATCAATAGAAGTGAGAGAAACATCAATGCATTTATTAAGGACATTTAGATCTTCTTATACAATGTTGTATAATAGCGTGGCTCGAGTTCATAGTATACTAAGCTTTCTCTCATATTTATTAAGTTTTTTTCCTTTGCCCTTGTGTTCTCATAGCTTTAGGACATTTGTAGGTGATAGCGTTATATGGATTTGGTCTATTTCTTCTCAAATCTTGATAAAAGTCTATCTATGAATGATCCGACTTCATTTTTTTCCTTCGCATATCCGAGCCAACACACAATTACTTAATCACTATTTTCCCTAAAAATCAAACAAAATTTCAACGAGTCATCCTTATAAATTAGGCATTTTTTAATTACAAAGGATTGTACCTGCACAAAAAAAATTATCGAAATCGACACTTGCCTCGGACCATTCATTTAAATTAAAACTCAATCTCTATACTCCTAGCTCCATCACGGAGGATTGACACCATCTTATTTCTTTTCAAATCACGAGGGTCTTTGACTCCTCGGGTTCGATAAGTTATGACGTATTTTGACATACTTCAACAATCATCAATAAATTCAATTCAATTTCAAACGGCCAAAATTTTATCCTAATTTATCAATAACCAATCCTAATTAATTCAAAATAATTTCAAAAAAATATATAATTAAATTTCAAATAACATAAATTCGAGTTTCGTAACATTTAATAACAATTAAATATTTATCTATTTCAAACAAATTTGATTAAAAAATAATTTATCAATTGTAAAATCCTAAGTTCAAGTAATCTTATATTACGTAAATTTTAAAATAACACTCTATTAATTTTGATATTTAACATCCTATTTTCTTCCAATAACTTAATTATCAAATTCAAAACTTTTATTTTTATTTTTTATCATTGTAATTAACATCAATCAATTATGAGAACCAACACTAATTTATTAACAACCAAGCCTAATTAATTCTAAACAATTCCAATACAAAAAAAAAAAAATTACCCAATTAAAATTCCAAAAAACACACCTAAAAGTTATAATATCAAGGAAAAAAAAATTCATATTTCATACCTAAAAATTATAATATCGAGGAAAAAAATAATTATAGGACATTTAACATATATATTTCACACCTAATGGAGAGAGAGAGAGAGAGAGAGAGAGAGAGAGAGAGAGAGAGAGATGGTGGACGAGGCGGATGGTTTTTTGAGAGAGGAGACGATTGGAGTGGCTGGGATTGTTGAGGAGTGGGATTTGCGAGGTGCTTGGAGGGGGGGGTAGGGTGTTGCGGGCAATGGTTATGCTTAGAGGAGGCTGTGGCAAGAGGAAGAAGGAAGAAGAAAATGGGAAAAAATGAGATTTTGTCAATTTAGGGATTTCACTTTAGCGGTGGACATGAATCCGATGCTAATCAAATTTGAAATGACCCTTTTTATTTTTTAATCAATAATAACAACTAGTCAATTGCTATTATTTGTAAATTTAGCGATAGACATTATCCATCACTAATTTACAATAAACTAAAGAAATTAGCAACATAATATTCTCTTGCTAACAACACTAGGAAAAAAAAACTCAAAATAGCAATAGAATGAATGATTTGTCGTTGATGATCTATTGTATAAATCGATCGATATTTTGTTACTAAAGTCCACATCAATCTCGACGAAAGTTATAATTTGTTTGTTAATCTATCATGATTTAGTAACAAAATAATATTTGTCGTTGATGTTCACCGCCTTTTTGTTTTTTTGTAATGGATGGTTCTTGGACTCAGTGATCTTTTATGGCATGAATAAATAGTAGTATTTTTTATTTTTTAGAAGTAACCATGAATGGATGAAATATCTTGAAACCTATTTAGCAACAAATATAATCTAGAAGCCAGATAAACTTGGTTTTTTTTTTTTTTTTAACATTAACAGGACGCACCCTTAACGTAGAAATGGGGACTTTATCAAGGCATATATATTATACACAGTACACATATTTAGTCGATGTGGGACAAGCACACACACACACCATGCACAATTAAAGGGTTGACCTCTGTAGCCAAAATCAAAGGTTTTTCTGAACAGAGATAGAGATAAGTCACGTCCTTTAGCAAAACCATGCATGGTAATCTTTTCATGGCGTAGAAAACAAACAATGTATGGAGGCAAATTATTGTAGGTGCATGTAGGGATGTGACTTTATGTCTTTTGGCTATGGAAATGAATTTAAGCGCCTAAAAAATAGGTTGAACAACAACTGAATTAATTTGAAACCATTGTGGGTAGGAGTTGTTGAACTGCTCTCGCGTAGAGGGATCGTTGTATGTAGTAGTTGGCATTATAAATACACATGCAATACAGCTCATGCTTGCTTTCTAATTCTATTTTAACCACAATTTTTGCTTTGCTACAAATTAAGGATACATTGATACAAATTTAACTTAAACGTCTTATCCAACTGGATGAAATGCACTTAACCTTTGTACAATAAAATTTTCAAACACTTTAATTAATTAACCACGTTTAAATTTTCAGCGTGTGTATATATATATATATATATACTTCCTTTAATGAGGTGGAAAACTGAAACAAACCAAGAAAAAATCCTTTCTTTCTTTTGTATGATATTAAATATAGATTGTTGATGAGATCAAAGAGTTTAATTTTTAAAATAAACTAAAAATTAGGAGTCATTTTATTTTGATTTAGTTAAGAAGTGATAGATTTTGTTTTGATTAATGTAAAGACTAACTAGAAAATATCTCATTCTATATAAACACTAAATAATAATAATTGTGTATAAGAAAATTGAAATGTGTTTTTCTTTTGGGTCCATTATTTCCAATTTTAATCTTCCATCCATATAATTAATTCCACCGCTAAATGTAGTTGTTATTTAATAGCACCGCTTGAACTTACCTTTTTTTTTTTTTCATCTGGAATAATAAGGGTCATTTACTCTATTTTCATAAAAATAGCATTTCTCAAAAAGTCGATCCTCATTTGATCAAGTTGAGGAGGATCAGCTTTGAATTACATACAAGTATTTATAAGCCGTTGAAGTAGTTAGTGGGGGTAGATAATAGATTCTAAGCCCTTGTAGTCCAAAAAAAAAAAAAAAAAAAACGAAAATTAATTTAGACGGTAATTAGTTCTTGCGTGTCGTCAAAGCATTCCGACCCTACATATTTATGTTCATGACGACAGTGTCCTATTGGTAATACCTTTTTTTTTTTTTTTTTTCTGAATAGTACTATTATTTTGAGCACCAAAAGGAGGCTGCAATTATTGCCGCTGAACATGGTCCCAGTAATCAATATTCATGGAATGAAAAACTCACAAATTCTTACCCAAAATAGTAAGAAAATCTTTTTACAATGACGATACTTATGCTCGATGTAAGTTATTTTAGTTGATGAAATCATTGAGGACTAATCTCTAATGATTGACTCATAAAAAGGAGGAGGAAAAGGGCAGAAAAGACTATATTCTACTTTATGCTTAGCTCTTGTGATTGTCAAAAATCAAGACATGCACTACTTTTGCATGAAGCCAATGTTTTGGGTATCGGCCAGATTCAATCATTGCTTAATTTGCTATTTATGAAATTTAATCATGATCTAAATTGCTCTCATAATACATTGAAGTATTAAACTTGAGGATCACGGTTTAAAATACTGTATAGAAAAACTTTAGTTTCAATTATCCTATAAATTGATTTGAAAATATCTCTTATTTCTAGAATACATCAAAGATAGCCAAACTAAGACATCATTTATTGTCTGATTAAAAAAGAAAAAAAAGCCACTACAGCATTTGATTAAATATGTCAAAAAAAAAAAAAAGAAGTCAGCATGATGATCAGAAAAACTATAATACCATTTCAAAATCATGTAAGTTTTTTTAAAAGAAAAAAAATTCAGTATTCGTGTACGTTCGAAGTTTTAGCTTTGGAACAATTATTTTTGCCGACTTAGGTATGGTTTCACATGCACCTATCCCATTTCAAAATTAAGTGTATCACTATCAAATCTTAAGTAAGCCAGCTACAGTTGTTGAACTGTCTTTATAAAAAAAGCTTTTGTGATCTTCTTGGAAAATTGATTTTGGGGATGTATGTATACACTTTATGCTTAGGAGGATTGTATTCAAATCAACGTGGCTTGTAACCATATACTTTGATAGGATTAATGATACAAAAATCTTAAATTACGAATGCGAGGATGCTGCCAATCATTACCTAACATTCTGATCTATTGGTTAGGAACACTCAATCTCACTATCAAGATTAATACCAAAAAGTGAGATCCATGCCAGAAGCAATGAAACATGTCAACAAATCTTTCAAATTTAGCTTTCAAAATTGAAAAGTTGGACATAAACCTCGTCAAGTTGAATTAGTTTAATTTTGTCTTATATAATCAATTCCGTACAAATTATTTGTAGTCTCTAATATGTTCTGTGATATTACTGATATTATATATTGCCAAATCTGTTTTATTGAACAAAGGGTTTTTTTATTTTTTATTATTATTACAATATTTCTTCAAAGAAATTAGTTCATGACGATAAATATGTGCAAAGCGGAGTATTACTCAACTCAATCTTAATGTTTTTCACCGTTTTAATTAATTAGTCCATCAATAGTGAGCTGTTTTTAAAGAGTAAATTTTAATTTGCACGTCTTATATTGTTTCAATTTCACTTAAAAAAATTTATTTGTTTTAATAAGATTTTTTATTTTTTATTTTTGTTCCAACCAGTCTTCATATCTCTCATTTTTATTCTAGTCAGCCTTTCACATCTTTCACTTTCGATCTAATTTTTCTCCTTTACTCATTTCGTCAAGTGTGTAAATTTTAATTTTATCCTTAAAGTTTATAAAATATCTCAATATCATCTTGAAAGTAAATTAAGAAAAATTAAGAAAAAAAGAAAAAGAAAAAAGAAGATCAGTATATTTTTTTTGTTAAAAAATATAATAAAAATTAAAAGGATTAATTTCTCAAGAAAGCTTCAAATCATGCCAACTTCAATTCTCACTTAGCAATATTATCTATTATTTTGTCAATACTATAGTTAAATGAAAATCAAGATTTAAATTAATTTAACTCTCTTTTTATTTTTATTTTCATCAAAACTTTCATCATTCGATTTATCTCAATTATCATGTCCCATTCTTTTTTTTAATATTGTCATCAAATAGCATCTTTTAATGTGTACAAAAATCAAATTTTAGGCGATGTTAAAATTATCCTATACTCAAGCTATTATTCCATTCATATGGAATTACAACTTATTATTTTTTTTTTCAAAATTCATGTTCAAGATTTGAATAGAAAATTAGATAAAAAAGAGTAGATACAATATGTTAGTGAAAGAGTATACGAGAGATAGCAACAATAATAGTTAATACTTTTTATTAAAAAATACTTTTCATCATTATTATTTTTACCTAAATTTTGTTCTTATATTGTTGAAGGATTGGAGATAGAGTTCATGAAAAAAGAAATGCAAGATTGTTAGAACATATCCCACATCGAATAGTTAAATCAATAATAAATAATATATAAAGTTGAGAAGGGACCACCCATCATAAGGCTTAATTCTTTTGGATGAAACCCAATCTCAACTATCTAACTTTATATGGTATCAAAGCCTCAAAGAGGCCCAACGACTCAAGAAAGATCCCGAAGCCCAAGCCACTTGATAGACTCCAAAAGATGAGGTCGCAAGTGAGGAGGAGTGTTAGAATATATCTCACATTGAATAGTTAAATTAATAATAAATAATATATAAAGTTGAGAAGGGGTCACCCACCACAAGGCTTAAGTTTTTTGGATGAAACTCAATCTCAACTATCTAACTTTATAAAGATTTATATGATATTTGTTTATTGAAAAATGTATTTATCTAATGATTTTTTTTTCAATTTTAATTTTCTATTCTTACCTTTTTGGTTATAGTAAGATATTTTGTAAAATTTGAAGACAAAATTGAAATTTAAATATACTTGAAAAAAAAATGAAAGATACAAAGTTTAATTGAAACAAATAAAACTATAATTTAAATGAAATTGAGAAAATACATAAACTTGAGGAAAATAAATTGAAATTTATACTATTTTTTTAACAAGAGGTTTGAACTCAAAATATCTTAAAAATAAAAGGACATTATTATTAAAGGACTATCTCACCTAAAAACTTAAGCTGATAGGTGGGGTCCTAGAATATAATTTATACTAGTCTCTAACACACCCCTTCAAGTGAAAGGTCCAACATTTGGAGCATGAAACTTGCAAAGGTCTATATTGCCTTGTGCTTAATATTTGAAAAATTGAGGATGATGAGACTTGAACTCGGGACCTTAAGGTTAATCAAGCTATGATATCATATTAAAAGACCATCTCATCTAAAAACTTAAGTCGATAGGTGAGGCCCTAGAATATAATTTATACTAGTCTCTAACAATTATTGCTCGTTAAGTTACAATTCATTAGCAGTCATAAAGGTTATATATAAATTGTTCACATTGGCTTGCCCTCAAGTCAATCACTGAGATTGAACAAACAAATTAATACTGAATTTCTTTAACCATCTGATTTACAATTTCTTTTTGGTATTGTATGTATATATAATCATAAAATGATAATTTTCATTTTGAATTAAATATTATCCTTTGAACAGATGATTGTCTGCATTAATCCTTCATCTCTAGAAGGCTTTAAACAAATAAAACTGGACTAATATTAGACGTTCCGAATCATTTCATAAATTTGAAATATGTTAAGAAGTGTGAAAAGCAGCCGAAAGTTACCAAAATTAAATGGCATTCAGAGTTTGGACTGGTGAATTCCTACAGGCTAGTAATTATTCCGGTGGTCACAGCCAATTTAATTGGTTTGCAAAATCTCTTGAATTCCATATTTTGAATGAAGAATTCAACTCTATAATTTATTGCAAAGAAGTATGCATATAATTGGAATGTTTTTATTTATTTTGAGGTATCCGATTTGGTATACACTGGATTTTGAGCTGGCTTGTCGGCCTATGATAATTACTCTCAATATACTTCTTTTGCACTGTCTCAAAATTCCATCCCTGATTTCATTAGTGTTTCACGATTTTTTGGTAGTGAAATGTAATTCTATTGCTTAAGGCAATATGAATGGAAAACAAAGGAATAAATTAAAAAACAAACTTAAAAAAAAGAAGAAGTTAGAATAGAAATTTTTTTGGTTACAGGATACAAAAAATTCTTTGCAAAAAGATGGAAATTGGCTTTTGAAATGCATTGGGAGTTAAATTGTAATCTCATGGTATTACAATACACAACTACCTGTACTGGATTGCTTTACTTTCAGTGGGCCTTAAAAAAATTTTCCACTGACAATAACCCTTACCTATATAAACCCCTCAAATCATCTTGAATCCATGTACAAACAAATTGTTCATACACATTAGCTAGCTAGCTACTCCTAAGATTTTTTTCCACCTCAATGGCTGGCTCAACAATTATGACCATGTCCTTAATGATAGGTGTAGTCGTGGCAATTGCAACTTTTGTTCCACTAGCTGAAGCTAGGGCTTTCTTTGTGTTTGGAGATTCACTGGTCGATAATGGCAATAACAATTATCTAGCCACCACAGCACGAGCAGACAATCCACCTTATGGCATCGATTATCCAACTCGTCGACCGACTGGCCGGTTCTCTAATGGCTTAAACATTCCGGACTATATCAGTTGGGTTTATATATGTCATATTTTTGCAAAATTTTTAAATGCTGTGCACATAACTTATGTGACATGTTTTTGGTTGGGCTAACACATGTTACATGTACCTTTAGGTCGACAACTTGGCTCAGAACCCACGTTACCTTACTTAAGTCCCGAGTTAACTGGGCAAAGGCTACTTGTTGGTGCCAATTTTGCTTCTGCTGGAATTGGAATCCTCAATGACACTGGAATTCAGTTCGTAAGTGCGAATTTTTTTTACCATTTCTCATATTCGTCAATGGTGAACATGACACCTCTATGTTAAAATGTTGGTTCATCAAGAATAACCATTTTGATCCATTGCCAAAGACAACGGACAGTAATCCTCATGAAAAACTACTACTACGTTACAATTCCAATTTAAGCTAAATCAACAATGGCTTGACTTCAAGTGATGCATTTTTCAGATAAACATAATCAGAATGTACAGACAATTGGATTACTTCGAACAATACCAGAGTCGAGTTACTGCTCTCATCGGAGCTCAGCGCGCTAGGCAACTCGTCAATGGAGCACTCATCCTCATTACAGTGGGCGGGAATGATTTCGTCAACAACTACTACTTGGTGCCTTTCTCTGCTAGGTCTCGCCAATTTTCACTCCCTGATTACGTGAGATATGTCATCTCCGAGTACAAGAAACTTCTAACGGTAACTTTCTTCCACATTGTCTCGCATATTTCGGTGTCCAGCATGCTCAGAGAGGGCTAACTGTGACAATGCATGCCACAACAATTCATATATATAGGGCGTTTGAGATTAATTTAACAATTAAATTGATTGTTCTAATTTAATTACTTGTTTTTAATTTCTTTTTTTCATTTATAAAGTTGATATTGTTTAACTCAAAATATTTTTCAGAGGCTATATGATCTAGGAGCTCGTAGGGTTCTCGTAACCGGGACAGGTCCGATGGGTTGTGTCCCAGCAGAATTGGCGCTGAGGAGCTCAAATGGGCAGTGCTCGGCCGAGCTACAACGAGCTGCTTCCTTGTACAACCCTCAGCTCACTGAAATGCTCGGACAGCTCAATAATCAATATGGTGCTGATATCTTTATTGCTGCTAATACAAGACAAATGGCAAATGACTTCGTTAGCAATCCTGGAGCATATGGTAAGTAATTAGTTCAAATTGCATATTAAATTTAATTAGTCCTCTCTTTTCATTTAATTTCTTAACAAGTTAATTATTTGTATTTTTTGAATATCCAGCAATTTGTTGGATGTTTGCAATTCCTATCAAAGAATCAGCAAGATAAGTCCTCATAAGTGACCCTAAAAGAGGATTAAGATGGATTTTGAATTGAGGTTGATGCTACATGTCACAATATTGGAACGTAACATGTGAAAATGACAATAATTCCATGAAAAAATTAAGGGGCAGCTTAACACGTACATAAAAGAGCAGTGATCAAATTGCATTTATTAAGAAAAACTACTCCTTTATCAAATTGTAAACCCTTCCAACGGTCCTAACCGGTTTGAAGTGGTGCTTTATGACATGCATAACTCATCATTTGTCGTTAGTCCATTTCACTACAGTTGTATATATGTGCTGGACTGTTGCAAGCTGTATGATTTGCTAAAAAATGTTGGCCTTGGAAAACACAATTAAAGATACATGCTCCTCATTTAATTGCATTCAAGTACTTGTTTATTAAAAAAGAAGTTGATTTTCTCCTTTTTTTTAAAAAAAAAAAGTGACGTGTGAACTATAATAAACAGTATTTTAACTGATATTAGTATTTTTATTTTCCTAAATTTCAATTGATATTATTTTTTTTAATGTTTCAAATGAAAGAGAGAGAGAGAGAGAAGAAACGATGAAGAGTAAATGTCTGGCTATAAGAATGTGACACTTAGAGATTATTAAGTATGAAAAGAATAACACCTCATTAATTAATTGTCACTAGACATCAAGTTGAACCTCTTTCTCAAAACTAAGAGAGGGATAATTCGCTATGAAATAAATAATTAATTAATTCAATAATTTGTCAAATTCAAATATCCTTGCCAATTGAAAAAGCATGCAGTACACAAAAAGCCCAAACATAAAAAAATAAAAAAGAGTCATATAACATAAATATTATTTTTGTTATGCAGGATTCGTTACGTCAAAGATAGCATGCTGTGGACAAGGACCATATAATGGGATAGGGCTATGCACACCGGCTTCAAACTTGTGCCCTAACCGTGACCTCTATGCATTTTGGGATCCATTCCATCCATCCCAGAAGGCAAACGGTTTGATTGTCCGACAATTCATGACCGGAGACACCACCTATATGAACCCCATGAATCTTAGCACCATCTTGGCCTTGGACTCCAGGACCTAGAAAATTAATTAATAAGCACTTCTTCTTCAAAACCTCGTTTTCCATCCTTATGTACGGATGTCATAATTTATGTTGTTTGCAGTAGGTTTCCTAGAGAAATCATGTTGTCCCATTGTTGAAGTGGCTTGAAGTTGGGATTGAATGGTGTGATGTATCTACCTATTTATTTTTATTAGTTAATAATAAGTAGGCATTTTTGCCTGTCAATGGTGATTTCCTTCACCTCCCTTTTCTTTTTAGATCATCCAATCTTGGTATCCGAGTTTTGCTATTGACACATTCTCCAGTCTTTACTGGGTATCGGACTTAGTTTCATTATAATGCTATGATTTATCACACCTCTCATTGAACAGAAACAATATGGCGTAATTTTTATTGGGAATTATGCTAAATCAACCAAACAATTTAAAAAAAAAAAAAAAAAAAACAGAATAGACACAATGGTAGAGATTGTAAATAATTGCAAACTAATGGCATTTTCCCATGTCTATATTGGAAGAATTATTCAGCCCACTAGTTTGGAGATTTTAGAGTTTTTCTTTTGCATACATGTATTATTATTATTATTATTATTATTATGTGAATGAATGAATGAGCTTAGCTAACAGACCTCCAGATATCTGAAATTGACTTGTAATAATGATTTTTTGTGTTTCATTGAAAATAACGGTGTCATTTATAGAATAGAACAATGTGTCCCTCCTAACTCCACACAGGAATCGAAAACATAAAGAATCTGACAATTTCTCTTAACAAACAACTAGAAAAGATGTTTTTGTTTTTTCTGCTCTTAAATTTACTTTTTAGCTATAGTAATTTTTTATATATAAAAAAGTAAACTATCATAAAATATACTGAACTATCATAAAATATATTTTTCTTTATTTCTTTCTTTATAGCTCAAAAGTTTCAACATTGATTCTTTCATTTTCAAAAAAGGTAGAATATAGTTTCTAACTTCTAATATAGCTAATAAAAGCTAACCGTATATCTTGTCATAATGAAAGTTTTTTAATATTGAAAATTTTAAAACATGATAACCTTAACATTGTTTGTTTGTTTTTTTGTTTTTTTTTTTTTAAAGAAAAAGATTATACTATCCTTTCAAAAAAGACGGAAAAAGTGATATAGAGTTAGATTTTGTTACTAACTAAATTTTCTCTCTTTCAAAAAACTAGATGCAATACTTATGACTTAATTTGTAAGGAGCCGATAATCCCTTCGCGATCAAATGAATGCAGATTTTATAAATATATAATCAAATTAAGAATTGAATTGGAAGAGATCAAATAATAATTTAGGATTCTAAGAAAATCCTAGTAAACCAAGAAGTTTAAATCTAACTGGTTTGTTAAGATTTTAAAATAGAAAAACCTAACAAATTACAATTTTTTTTTTGTTAAAACTAATAAAACAAAGATCTACATCAAGTAATAAATAAAGTTGCAAACATATGAAATTAAATTGCAAAAAGCTATAATAAAGCAGTAAAGAATGTCATCACCCGATTTTGACTTCTTTATTTTTTAAAAATTAAAAATTAAAAATTACATTTTTCTCAACTTCTCTGATATTTTGAAATTTAGTTTCTTTTACGAATTTTTATGAGTTTTATTATTTTTGTAAGTTCTGAAAAAAATAATAACCGAGCATGAAAACAGATGAAGAAAAATCAGTGCATAAATTTTTTTTTAAATAAAAAGTCACAAAAATAAAAAAAATAAATAAAGTACACAAACTATCCTATTATAACTTAACAAAGCTTAATTTAATTTTTTAAATTTAAGATAATCTCGCTTGGGAGTTATGTAATCCTTAGCCAATCATCACTTCTCCATGTAAGTATAAATAAATAAATAAAAATGTTTAAAAAAGTCAAAAGGAGGTCAATTGAAGCTCAAAAATATAAAATGAAAAATTGAAAAACTCTTTTTTTTCTCTCTGTAACTCGTTCTCTCTCTCTCTCTCTCGACCCGACCCATTTTTTCTCTCACTAGCCAATCGATGGTTTTCCGCCAAAATCAAGGCCGAAACCACACTAGAGCTGTGTGACACCACTCCAGCCACATTTTCACGTCCGTGATAGCGACGGAGAACGACAAAGGAGACCAAAAATACTCCTCAAATAGTGACGCTACTAGAACCGAGAATTTAACCCTTTTTAAAAAAAATTTTCCAGCCAAATTACCTCTCTAAATGACTATAATCATGTTCCAAGTTCTAGGGATATTTTTAACTAATTTTGAGCTTCAAAACTCATCGTCTTTGCTAGAATCAACTCGGAGAAGAGGAAGAATAAGATCAAAGTTCGCAACTGTCGATCCTCTCGGTTCGATTCAATATGGTTAACATATCCTTCATAAGGTGGTAGAAGATGACTCTTGCGAACTATCAAGACCATTCACACACGGAGAAAAGGCTGGAGAACAAACAGAAGCTTGGTGGAGTGAAAAACTACTGGTAGTGGCTGTTTTCTGCGCATCAGGGGTATTTTGGTGATTCTAAATCTGTCCAGTGGCAAAACACTCATTTCTAGAAACTGTTAGGGGCATTTTAATCATTTTATTAATTTTTTGAGTAAGTTTTGATTAATTTAATCACTTTAAAAATGACTTACTTCGAGTTTTTTTATACGATTATTCATTGATTATGAAAATGATTTCAACTATGAATATATCAAATTCAAACGGTCTGAGATTAGTGGTATGTTGAGGTAAAATAAAAGAGGATTCATTACTCCGTGATGAATTGAGTTTAGATCTCGATGTGATTTTTGAATATATAATTATTTGAGGGTGATTAAATTATTGATTCATTATTTATATGATATTTTGTGAGCAATAATGTTGAGTGATTCATTTTGAAGATATGATGTGTATGGAATGAACTACGATGACAATATTGACATGATTTTTTTATTCATTAACAATTTATATTAAATGATATGTTTTGTCATTTTGAATATAATTTTGTGATGATAAATTTTACTAAAAATATCTTTTCTATCGGCTTTGACTTGATTTTGTTCGTTGGCTATTTTTATGAAATTGATATGTTATGTTGTTTTTCACATGATTTTTCATCAACAATTTATGATTTTATGATTTTTTTTATTTGATGGCTTACAATTTCAAATGACTATACTCATTCTATTTTTTATATGATGATTTTGGTGATACCGGATGACAGTTCACCTCCAACTAATGATTTGAGTGGTGAATTCATGATTTGATGGTTTGCAATTTCAAATGATGGTATGCATTTTATTTATTGTGATGATTTTTTATGATACTGAACGACGGTTCACTTTCCATTTATAATTTGACTGGTGATTTCATAATTTTATAGTTTATAATTCTAAATGGTGGTACACATTCCATTTCATTGGTGATATTATGATTCTATGGTTTGCAATTCTAAATGACATTATGATTTTGGTGATACCAAATGATGATTCACTTCCCACTTATGATTTGAGTGGTGATTTTATAATTTATGGTTTGCAATTTTAAATGATGATATGAATTCTATTTTTTATTTAATGATTTTGGTGATATCAAATGACACTTCACTTCCCATTTATTATTTGAGTGGTGATTTTAGGATTTTATATTGAAATTCCAAATGACAATGCACATTTTATTTTTTATTTAATAAAGATTTTATAATTTTGCAAAATGATTGGTTTTTTAAAACTTGTTTTGCGATGTTCTTTATTTTAAAGTGAGTAAAGGATGTTTTATCAGCCTAATCTAAAATCACTCAATTTTCATGATTGATTATCTTGATGGCAAACACACTCAAATAGGTATAAGTTTTCATCATAATAAAAACCAAAGATGAATGTTTAGATTCATATGCAGTGCATTCTACCTTAAATAGGACGTCGAAGGGTGATTGTTATCTTTCTTACATGTAACCAACTCCTTGCATAAGATCTTTGAATAGACTAGTCATTTAAGTTTTTAGTTATCTTTAATATTGTATGATGATTCTTTTTTCTACCCTTTTTCTATTTCAAACCTTTCATCTCGATGTCCACTTACAACAAAAAAGATAAATTGCAAAGCATAAATATAAAGGTAAGTACTTGAAAGATAAATTTACAAATAAAAATTTCTTTATTGGGGCCCAAAAAATTACAATGAGTATGCGCTTCTCTATTTATAAAGAGAGTTAATTGATCAATCTGTTCTTATCTAATAAGTTAATTTTTTAATTTATCTTTATATCTCTAATTGAATTAATTTTATTCTTAAAGGTACTTTAAGTGTATAATCGGTCATTTTGGTAAAATTTTTAAACTAAACTACTAGAATTAGTAACACTCTTTGCACTTGAAAATCTTCTATTTGACTTACTTGCAAGGACATTTTGAAAAAAAAAATTAGTCAAGAAATAACTACAATGGCTCGAGCTGAAAATTTTAATAAAATAACATATTAAAAATGTATATTTCAAGATAAAATTGATTCAATTAAGGTTATAAGAACAAATTAAAATTTTATTTTATTATATAAGAATAGAATGAACTATTAATTCTTAATAAGAATATTAAATCTAATAACCATATAAACCTGAAGAAAAAAGTAGATTAAATAAAAATATTAACCCTGCTAGAATAATTTTTCCTAAATAACATGGTACAATAAAAATATATAATAAAATTGACGTAATCCATGTTGTTCGAATTTGATGCCAAAGCCTTTCCCAAATTGTAGAATTCGTCTTGACCGTATATGGCCTGATCCTTATTGTTTCTTGATATGTCGAATGTGCTCTTTATTTTAAAAAATCTTGATATGTCGAATTTGATGCCAAAGCCTTTCCCAAATTGAAATATGTGTTTTTGAGCTTCAATAGATTCTATTATCTTTTATCAAGGCAACGAGTCAAATTGGAACTCTTGAACCTAGCCTCAACATATTGAAAAACTCTAAGTTGTAGAAACCAAAATCAAAATTTGTTGAATCAATTATAAAATGAAGTAATAAATTATT